GGACCGATTTCGACGGGACTTTCACTGGCAGATAGCTAATGACATAAGGAGTAACTTAGGCTACTTTTTTTAGACTAGCTTCGCCCCGCGGCGTTGCTCGCGGTTATAACAACAAACGCGGGTAACACCGCGGGTCTCAGCTAGTTGTTAAATATATTTAAAAAGTAGCACGTCCCTTTTCAGTCTCGGTAACATAAATAAAGAATACTTACAACGAGCCGAATATGTACGATCCTTTGTGATGGTAAGTGATAAACTACAGACGCATATAGCGTCTTGCAGGTTTTGTATCAAACTATTACAATGTATATTCAGATCTCTTTTGTATAATTTCTTTTATTATTACGATGACATTGTGAACATATACACGTTACGTATGTTGAACTTTCACTTTCTAGCCCTTTTTTGCACATTCGTATGAAGTTCGTATACATTCGTACCCTTCAGTTTTGGAAAGTCAATGAGTTCTGTGACTCGTGCTGTATAATAATTAATAATCTAGTTCCCGAAAAAGCCCGATTCAGAGAACGCATTGCTCTAGAGCGTGTTTCTCGATTTGGAACAGATAGGCTTGCTAATAAGTGCCATCGTCTCAGCAACACGATGCTAATTCCTATACTGAAACACTGGAACAACAAGCTTAGTTCGAGGAGCGTGTACTGAATTTATATATTTATAAAAAAAATTGAATGAGTATTGCTAAGATTGATTTTCTAAATAGGTTGGTAATGAACATCGAATCCAATGCACGTATAAGACCTTTCGTTTACACATCGGCAAACGCAGTAAGCTAGGTCCAATTTCTTTTTTTAACCTGTGTCTATTATGACTAACTTGAATTTAACAATCGTCATCATCATCAACAGCCTTTAATAGTCCACTGCTGGACATATACCTCTCTTTAGAAAATTTAACAATATTTTATTCGTAATGTATAAAGAAATCATTTCACGTTAAAGGGCTATCCTGTCTATCCTTTATTTTAACCAGTGAAGTACAAATGTAAAAAAAAACTTTTCGAATTCCGTTCAGAATGCCTTAAAAACGAACCAGTTCTGTCACGAGCTGGATTTACAAATGGGTGTAAAAGAAACTGAGACACGTTCTTTTTGTCGCTTAACAATTTCAAGTCGTCAAGGTTTTTATATACGCAAGCTATATAATCAGTTAGCACTGAAATCTGCTTATCATCCTAAAATAGCAGTTGTCTGTGTTCTGATAGTTGACCCCTGAATCCGATAAGCTAAAATCTTTTAATAAACAAAATCCACAATTACACTGCAGATTCATGTAAAAGTTCACCAGAAATGGTATCACAAATGAAACTGACGAAAATACACATTTATCCTAGCTTCTTGCACCAGTGTTATATAATAAAACTAAATATAGTGCATCACTGTAGTCGTGGTCACAATAACAATTATAAATGTGTTAATTTCCAATAATCTTATCGCTGTTGTTTATTACACCCCATTGTGGAAATGTACTTAAAGTCAGCCGATAGCTGACCCCCTACGGTCACAACACAGTACAGCTTTTGTGATGACGACACTTGCGAATATGTTACCACATTTGTTATCGTGTGCAAAATTAAATTATAGTTAAATTTGTCTTTTTGTGTTATTTTTATTTCGTCAGATTATTTCTCTGATAAAGCAAAACAAGACGTAAATATTGCTTTTCAAGCAATGTTTCGGTGGAATGTTTCGTCAGCCATATTTTAGTGCCAGTTATATTTTTGTAGCAGTAATATTGATACTCGATACTTCAATATGACATTTTGGAATTGAATGTCTATATATAGGTATTTGGAAAAAAAAAATAATTTAACAAATTTTGCTCTATTTTGAAACTGAATTTTATTTATCTATGTCACCTGTCATTCGACAGTTAAGCAAGACTATGGGCTGTTTTATTGTTAGAAAATATTTAGCTTGAACACTTTTTTTATCGTGTGGAATATTGTAAAAAAAAACCGCGTGTATCTTAGGAACACCGGTATACTTCAGCCGCAACAGTAATCAACTACACGATTGCAGGAGAAGAGGCCTTGATCTTCCTTCCGGTTTAGATAGACACTCGCGGATCACTTCTACCGTTTTAAGCTTGCTTCTGTTAGGGTAACGATCAGCTTCACCTGTTACCCTCAGGTCAGCGTTAATGGAGCTTAGAGATAACTCCTGCCCAGTTTCTTTTCTGCTGCTTCTTTAGTAGACATCACTTCCTCGTAAAATAAAGCATTGGAATTGAGCAGCGAGATGCCTCTTAATCCAGTGTATGAATTGCAATTGCCTTGACAGGATTACTTATTAAAATAACCGTTCTCTATCATGAATCTTACCGTCTAGATTATTCAATTTTATTATGTCAATGTATTTTCTAAACAAGCACAAGGGTTTAGTGATAGGAGATAAATGATTAATGTGTGTAGAGTTCCAACAAAGAACCCTTGTAGTTTCGCTGTGACTGTCCGTCTGACTAACTGTTTTTACTGCTAGTAAAAGTAAGCTGTAATTCTACATTCACGCCGACAAAGTGGTCAAACTCTTTAATTAATTATTTTTTTGTGTATCTTCCCAAAACCTGTTTTCTAAGGAGAGGCGTTGATGATGATGATGTTGTACCTTCTCTACACGTAAAGTAAGGATATATATCATATAATGTTATATAGGATATTTAAAAAGAATGTATAACAGGAAATGTGAAGACTATTAATCGATTCAGTAATCCGATTAATATAAAACTTTAAAGTATTAATATTTGTTAGAGTCAAGTGTGCCATATGAGGAGTCTTACAAATTTAACTGTTTGCTTAAAAAAAACATTATAATAATATTTAAAAAAAACATGTTTGAGATATGCTGCCATCAGATACCCGTCTGTTCGTTTGCTCTTCTGTACATAAAACATAAATGTCACATCTAAACATGGTTCAGTTAGTTTAAGAGTAATAGTCGCCCAACTTGGTAAATTGCCTTCAAATACAAAGTCATTAGAAAAATATTATTTTAATACAATTAAGTAATTGTATTAAAATAATTCAAATTTGTTTAAGAGCCCTACCCTGCGCGTAGTCCAAGACGCAATTGTTTTTAAATCTCTCGATGCTCTGTTAGTGAAATGTGTATACAAATATGCTTATCAAGAAGAAAAATAAAAACAATTAAGAAAAAAACATGTAGATCTGATATGACCTAAATTTGAAAGAAGATGCGTCATTAGATTTTTATTTAAAACATGATTGTTATCATGCCTGGCAACATTATCGCGGTTAAATTATCGCCAGTTAAAAAATTCTATGACGTACGCGATCCCTAGACTTGACGTAATTCCTTAATATCAACATTATTTGAATGGTATGCCTTTGGAATAGAGTTCGAAATTTGAATAAAAAGTTTTATTTCATTATCGGACATTGTAATGTTATTGTCATTAAAACTTGTTTATGTACAATTCATTTATAATCTAAAGTGTTAAGTTTATATGTTTAGTTTGAGTCTTAACGTCGCTGTGTGATGTGATTTTGTCCGGTCAGAGTACCCTGTGATCTTATACATCAGCTGTGTTTGTTTTGTTTTTAAATCTACAGTCTATAATCAGCTGTTAGTGACAGTTAAAAATAAGGTACCTATTCTTTATGAGTGTGACCAATGCAATTAACTATGTGTGTCTAAAGTTAGGTTTTTTTCGACCGTTAACTACTTAATATGATACGGCATAATTTATTTTTAAATTATTTGTTACTTATGCATAGGTTATATTCTATCACTCCGAGGGTTCAGGCTATGACCTTGGCAAATATCATGGAGTACTCATGGCAAATACCATGGAGAATACACAGAAGTATACAGTGAAGCTCACCTATTTATTTTATACATTTCTTTCGTCTTAACAAGGCAAGCTAACTATTAAGAAAGCTCTAAATGGTATGCCCATGTTTAGACCTAGCTGCATAAAACAGTGAGAACCGATGCCTCCACTACTCTATGCAGGTATCTTTCACTACGGTCACCACGCCACTTCCTACTGCGCTGAGTGTGTCGTGGCTTTGATCCCCACATGGTACAACAGGACTAATCCCACCCACACGCCCACCACTGTAACTCCTGTACACCAAGATCCACAGCAGTGACCCACGAACACACCGAGTTATGACACTCGGGAAGTCCCAGGAAGAAATTAAACTGTCTTGGAACACATGGTGATTTAACACTCGTGTGATCCACAAACAACACAAATTGTTGTTCTGAGTCTGGGTGTTCTTTGTGTCCCTTTCATGTATATTTGTAAAGTCCCACGCGACAAAGGATGTATTCTTAGTACGGAGGTTGCCTTTTTTTTTTAAATTAAAAAAAATCTTGACAGAGACAGTCCTCTATAAAACCTTTATATTATTTAATGACAGCAGTAACGTTAAATCCTTGTAATGGCTGAGATTACGCAACTCTTAAGAAATATGTTTGTTAATGCTGATCAGTCACTTAAAAATATAGTATCTATCTATTCGTGAAAAGTTAGAGTTAACTTTGTAGGAGTTTCTTCAGAATATTTATCTAGTATATAGGAACAAACATTTTTAATTAAACTATAGTGCTTATAATTTAATATTTCTTAAGTCGTAAATGATTTATAGTAAAACATTCTTTGAAGTTTGTTGTAAATCGTGTCGAAATTTGAGCTCAACTGATGCAGAGCTTTTTGAGTTTTTGAAGCGTATACAAATCAAATTAACATTTATGTATATACAGATAGATGTTAAATCAAAATATTACTTTGCTGATGACAACAGTGTGCAGTGTTGCCAACTATAATATATTTTCCAATGAAATATGAAAACCAATAGGGGTGTCGGGGTAATCTTATATAGAAAGTGTTAATATTTTTTCGACGAATTTACTTTTGTATCGTAGTTAGGTACACAACAAATCAAACTACTTTTCCTAAGCAACTTATATCAGTTGAAGTTTGCTTAATTTCATACTACTCTTTTCAGTGACAAAATGAACGGTCCCGATGGACCTTCCTGCCACCAGCAGGACGTGAGCAACACAGAGGCTGCTGTGAAGAGGCTAGGACAAGAAGACATTAAGGAACCTGAAGTGAAGATTAGCAAGAGGTTCGGAAGAGGAGCTGTACAGAGTGGTAAGTGCAGAAGCTGAAATATAATGTAGTTTTTGGAGGTAATTTAAATGAACCGAGTGATGTTGATGATACTTTATGATGTATCGTCCTTTGTTTTATCTCTCAGCTGTTGATTCTGGTATACACTACACAGCAGTTCATCTAGAATTAAATTTTAATTTGAAAATATTGCGCAGATGCACATGGTATCTCAAATAATAAGACATAATTCTTGACACGTTTAAATTGTCCAGATATACGAGGCATGAAAGGTTTTTATCTGAAATAATCTCTCAAGTTTAAAAGACGAACTGCTTTGGCTCTGTAAGTCCGTGTAGTGACGGATTAAGAATACGGAATGTCACTACCCCAATTCATCCCGTGGTTGTCGTAAGAGCCGACTAAAGGCGCAAAACAACGCAGGACACCAGCACCTCAAAAAGAAGGAAAACTTGACACAAACCATATACCAACCCGTCTGACCAGCGTGGTATAGTAGGCCAAAACCTCCTTTCTACGGCCTATGTCCAGCAGTGGACTATTAAAGGCTGTTGATGAGATGTGATGATGTGATGTCCTGTTATGTCGATATCATAACTGTCCAAATGTAACGTCTGTCGTGGGTCCGGTTCTGTGTAAATATAGATAGATAACTCTTTATTGTATAAAAAAACCATTGTCGCTATTTGCGATCTCTTAAAGGCAACCACTGGATTGAGAAGGAGATTAAGAATGACATGGAGAGTTGCAATTTGTTATAAAGGACTTTGCTTCAAAAGCTATGTTTTCTGATGATGTTAGATCAGACTGCTATTAAGGAGCATAGTGTATTGGCATTATTGGGCATCTGTGGGAGGAGTTTATTACCAGAATTTTCTTTCAAATTACTACCTGTAGCCTTAATTCAAGCTAGTAATCTGATAAAGCTTTAAAAAAGTTCATTGCAATTAACTGATTACAGTGAAAGTAGCAAGAGTAAGTGAAATAGCGAGCGATTTCTATTCCTTTCTCTCACTCTGCTGACGTTTCATTTCAAGACTTGCCTTTTGCCCTCTTTCACTTAACAGTTACAATAAATGATGTAACATTATACTCGTAGTCACGAGATCGGACGATTCGTAATCTTGTGCACTGATCAGCCATTTATCAAAGAGCTCATAAAAGTTAACTACGATCGGTGACACTTGACTCTCATTTCAATAGATAGCCTTATAACCCTCGTTTACTCCATCTTTTAATCTGAATTTCAGTTTTTTTTTGTATTAAATGTTGTACTCTAAATATTAAGTTTAGGAGAGGATAGAGAATTTAAACTAACAAAACGGTTCTTAGGAAACTCAATTGGTCACATTATCGTCTTTTTTCGTTAGAATTTACAATTTTGAACCCTTTTTGTTAGGGAATAGGGCATTTTATCTTGTATCTCTACAATGAGGTACATGACTCAAGTCAAATCAGTATCTTTTTGTCGAACGTCACAACAATAGACGCCACACTTTTTTTTCTATGGCGTGACGTCATTCCTACTATTCCTAGTTGTTAAATCTTTATTATTTAATGGTATGTAATTCGAGGATATCAAAACAATAACCACATTATGTATATTGAAAATGGAGGACAATTTAGGCTGTACTATAAGATGTTGATTTATTTTAAGCTTAGGAATGTACCCTATAGTAAGTACTTATACCACCCAGGGAGATGAAATGGAAAGATTCATTAGGATATTAGGAAAGGATAAACAAGTGATATGGTTTCGTATTAAACGATAAGGGTAATTAGGAATTACAGTTTTATCACTAATCATTCATAAATTTCCATTCAGTATGTACATCTAGTTTATAACTGATAATAATGAGTGGAATTTCTCTAATAGTTTTTTAATTAGCGGTAATAAATAAAATGTGTCATAATAAGCATACACAGTTGGCATTGATTGCACATTTGACTGCATAGTTTAAAGCTCACCTCGCTTTGGGACAACACTTTGTGTGATTTACAAATTGTTGTTCTGAGTCTGGGTGTTCTTTGGGCCCATTTCATGTATGTTTCTAAAGTCCCCCGCGACACGGGACACATTCCTAGTGTAGTCTTATGAAAGATAGATTTTTTTTTTGATGTACAAAAACATAATAACAATAATAAACTGTATATTTTAACACACTACAGATTTCTCTCTTAATCCGCCGCTTCTTTTTTATACATAACCTTTTCGCAACACCAAACTGTGGAATCCCACGCATTCTTAATTCGAACTATGGGCACTAGCGAAAAGCTACAATCGCGGGGGTGACTGTCATTGCCGGCATAAATTATAACCTGGCGTTTGCAATCCTTCGGTTTCCAATTAACGAATATATTGTAAACAATTTGCGCTTGTGTAGTTGAATGTTTTATGACTCCAGTGTTATATGGTAGTAGTATAATTATAGTTTAATATAAACTGATGTGAACAAATACCTAGAACCACACAATCCAGTTCAAAGAATCCTTTATAACAATAATTAATTATTATCTCTATTATATTACGCACTATATTTGTCACAGATAATAATTAAACAAACGTATCTTAGATGGACCATGCTCTACAATAAAAATAGCTGATGAAATCTCAGAGGTCAATAGAAGTGATAAAAAGCTCGTATTGTGATGATCATATAAATATATTTTACATCAAAAGTGTTATTTTCTAAAGATACTTAACGTCAGACTAAAATCGGTTACGCACTACTTCCGATTCGAACTTGTCAAATTACCTATCTAGAAATGAGCACGTCACGTTGAGCACTACTTCCGATTTCTGATCCGTGATTACGAATTTAGAATCCAAGCAATTCAGGCCTCACCTTGGGTTCGTTCATACTAATAATCCGTCAGTAATCTCCGGAATGGAGATTCACGGATAACAGAAAGAAATCAAATGACGGAAGTCAGATCTAGTGCTTAAGATACTATAGAAATAGTTTTACGACTACTTCGAATCGTAATTTCATGGATTCGGATCGGATTCTGATCGGACGTAATGCGAAACCGCTCTAAGACAGCTCTGAGGGACTTTTTAGTTTCTACTGATTTCAAAAAGCAGGAGGTCCTCGTTTCGGTTGTGTTCATTTTTCATGTTTGTTATGAGAGCTCCGTCATTTATGATCCAATTTTGTTTACATTTGGTTCTACTAAATGGGAATTACACCAAATTGGTATTTGAAAAAAAATGACTTCATTCATTCGTGGAGGAGAGAAATGAAAGATTGAAAATTAATCTATGATCACATGTAGGCGCATTGACGTTACACACTTTAGGTTACACAGTCACACTTCAGATCAGGTTACAAAGTTAATTATTTTATACACAAACTCATTTGATTCACATTTATATTTCAAAGAATAAATTCCGTAATAACTTGAAGGACGGGTTTAATTTTTCCATAAGACATTAACATACTACACAAAGCAAACATACGTCTAATACTAGCATATTTCTAAGGGTTAGTTTATTTTTGGTTAAAAACAATCTTGCTTTCGTTGTAATGTAAAGACTAAAGAGGTTACCTAAAACTAATCATCATCATCACCTAAAACTAATGTCATACTTCTTTAAAAAAAAAAACATCTCCCGTACTAGTAATATATCGTGTGTCGCATTCAGACAAACATTCAGAACAATCATTTGTGGATCACGGTACTATAACGTTAAATTTTGTTGTCTTGTTTTAATTTTGCCGAAACGAGCTAGCTTTCGCCTTAAACTCATCAGCGATTTCTTCCTAGATATAGTGGTTATAAACGCAGATAACTAAGATTATAAGCGTTTACAGTGTAAACGGACAAAGTTATCAACCCCTTAGACTTAGCTTGATATCTGATCTTTTGGTGCTTTCGGGTTTGCTACATCAGATTAAGTCTGTTACTGTCTGTTGCTCGAACTTACTAACTGCTATTGAACTATACTTACGTACCGAATAGTCACTTACTACTAAACATAGATAGGTCTCCCCTTGACCCACCAAACTTACAAATTTTGAAATACGGAAACCTATTCGTCATCCGAGCCTTTTTTCCAAAATAAGGCTTTAAGACTACTACGATACGGCTGAACTTCGTTTTTTTTTACCATCAGGCATCAGACCTCCACACCCAAGTACTAGGTGATATCGAAGTTCTGTAGAAAGACTTGTCGGACTTTTAGGGGTCCAATTACCCGTAACGATTGCCAAAGATGTTCGTATGGCAATCGGGACCGACAGCTTAACGTACTCGCTGAGGCACGGAGGGGTTTCAATGTGTTAAGAATAGTCACCCATCGTCAGACTGATCTGGCTAGGATTGCTTAACTTTGGAATGTATTAACTTAGTTGATTGCCACTTAACCACGAACCCCGCAAAATACGGAAACCTATGATTATAATAAAAAGGACCTATAAGTTCTGATAGTATTGTAAACGGACAGTATCGACCTTATGTCAGTTATCGGCCTATCTACGACTGCACACAAAGCTGAGAGTATTTCGTCGAGTTTGATACCAAATTACCCATTTTTTTATTAATTTATGTATCAGTTTTTAATTAATCAACAGTGCTTTGTGTAGTTCCGGAACTGAGATAACATTTATAATCTAACCGGTTTGGGCTGCTTTACAATTGGGTAGTTGTCAGTTATGTCGCGTGAGGTGACGCTGATATAATCATGATCATACCTACAGTTATACGAAATAATCTGCCTGTTGTCCCAAATACGTTGTAGTACTAAGCATAACATTAAAAAAATTACGGGCCTGGTGGTCTAGGACTTCTAAACTGCAGGTCGTGGGTTCGATAAAAATATTGTGTGAGCACAATCATTTTTTGAGTCTGGGTGTAATTAATCTATAATATGAAGAGAGGTGGGTATGTCCGTGTGGTGACGGATTAAGAATACAGAGTGTCACCACCCCTATTTATCCCGGGGGTGTCGTAAAAAGCGACTAAGGGACCAAACTAAGCAGGACAACGACACTGCTGAGAGAAGGAAAACTTGACACAAACCCTATACCAACCCGTCTGGCCAGCGTGGTGTAGTAGGCCAAAACCTCCTTTCTAAGGATAGGCCTATGTCCAGCAGTGGACTAGTAAAGGCTGTTGATGATGATTGATGATGAAGAGAGGTGCCAATGGGAGAGGCCTATGTCCAGCAGTGGACAGCGATAGGCTGATGATGATGATGAAGATGATGAATGTATTTGGAAACATTATATGTTTATCAGCAGATTGGTTACCATAGTACAGGCTCTGCCTAATTTCTGACCAGACTGCCGCGTGTGGAAGTGTGAAGTTATTATTATTATTAATATAAACGCAAATACAATACTTATGGTGAAAGTCACTAATTGCTAACGAGATATCTAATAAATTGTCCATGATTTTAGATTAGATATTTTTGATATTGATGGCTAATTCAGCGGTGCTGTAGTGGATCATAAGGCAAAGTCAAATGCATATCAATAAAGGGGGGCAATTCTGGCGAGGTGGCTAGCAGAGAGTAATTAAGAAGTCCTTTACACGGTGTCTTAAACAAAATTATCCCAAATTAATGAGATTCTTTTTTAAATATCCATCTCCATAGTTACGCCAGGGGTTAAAAACAATTGGGGCTAAAAGGTAACAAAAGAATTGCCTCAACGATTTTCTGTGTGCGTGTTATCACTCCGGTCGAACCGGTCCATATGTTTACGAAGGATGACCCTCGCAGTCACGACAGGCATTTATAACATCTGTCAGGATTTGATATCCATGAATCCTGTGTGGACCTACATCTATATATGTCTCTAATAGTGTATGTGCGTGTTCAGCATGCTATCTAAATAATTATATGAGATTTTTAAATCTTAAATTTTTATAATTTAAATGTGTTTATCTTTTAGTATACATAATGTCACACCCGATACACACACAGTCTCCAACAAATTAATCTTAATTATATCTTGTTAACTATTTTTTTATAAATAAGTAATCCGTCGGCACACGGACGTGCTGAAGTTAAGAAGTTAAGAATACAGAGTGTCACCACCATCCCGTGGGTGTCGTAAGAGCCGACTAAGTGAAAAAACTACGCAGAACAACAGCACTGCAGAGAGAAGGAAAACTTGACACAGACCCTATACCAACCCGTCTGGCCAGCGTGGTATAGTAGGCCAAAACCTCCTTTCTAAGGAGAGGCTTATGTCCAGCAGTGGACTATTAAAGGCTGTTGATGATGATGATGATTACTTTGTGTAATTGTCCCTAGAATAAGACTCATACAAATGTAAACAAACTGTTCTATTATAATGTTTTTTCTTGTACAATAAAGAATTATCTATCTATCTAAATACAATTTAGGATCAGTAACTATTAATAAATGTGTTTTTTTAATTGTTACTTTTAGGGTTGACGCACGAATGTGGAGTGTTCGCCGCGATCAGCACGGGCGAGTGGCCTACACAAGTCGACATCCCACAGGTCATATGCCTAGGATTAGTTGCTTTACAGCACAGGTGAGAACATTGTTGTTATTTACATATTTTTAGAATTCATTTACAAGTAATAAGCAAATGTTTGTATGATCTTTCGGAGGTGTTTTCCATGTATAATATGTATGTTTTTACAAAATATACATATATTTTTATTTATTTAAAAAAAAAGACAACTACCGCATTAGGAATAAATCTTGTGTCGCGGGGGACTTTACAAACATACATGAAACGGACACAAAGAACACCCAGACTCTGAACAACAATCTGTAGATCACACAAAGTGTCGTCGTACCACAACACTCGGCGTAGTAGGAAGCGGCGTTACGACCGCTTAAACCACTACGCCATCCATCATAAAAGTATTCTATCAGTCAATCTAGCTTTCACAGCTCTCTATCTAAATCATTTTAGTTAGTTGACAATCTCGCTCTACTGTGATGAATGCCTTATTTGCATCATCATCATCAGCCTTTAATAGTCACCTGCAGGACATAGGCCTCTCCTTAGAAAAGAGGTTTTCGCATACTACGGTGGCCAGATGGGTTGATATAGGAGTTGTTTAAAGTTTTCCTTCTCTTTTCAGAGCTGTTGTCCTGCTTAGTGTCCTCGTTTAGACGGCTCTTACGACAGCTACGGGATGAATACACTGCGTATTCTTAACCTTAATTTCTTATATTTGTTGTTGAGAGTCCAATGTCCTTTTTGTTGCAGGGGTCAAGAGTCAGCCGGTATCGTGACATCAGAGGGCAAAAACGCCCGTTCGTTTAATACTCACAAAGGCATGGGTTTAATTAACAATATATTTAATGATGAAGCCATGAAGAAGCTAAAAGGGAACCTCGGCATTGGACACACTAGGTATGTACCCCTATTTGCATTCTTCCTTTGTTCATTTCGATAACTATTCTATGCCCAAAGAGGGCAGCACAGTCATGAAAGGAACCAGCCAAAAGCCTGTGCAAATATATCTACTTAATATGGCTTAGAACTTAATCTTAGAACTCTTTCAATTTATTTCTCTTTTCTCTCCCTTTCTTCTTTTTCCATCCATTCATTCTTCTTTTTAACCAAACGTTAGCTGTATTGATAATTATCATTTAATCTGTTTCTATCTCAACAAAGCTACTGAGATAAAAAAAGAAAAAACTATGCACAAATAAGTTTGGGGGAATAGTTTTGTAAGTAGTGTGTTTATTAAAAGTAAAAAACTTATAATGTACGTATACGCAGGTATTCTACGTCAGCGGCATCCGAAGAAGTGAACTGCCAACCGTTCGTCGTACACACAGCCCACGGGGCTTTAGCCGTAGCACACAATGGTGAACTGGTGAACGCCAGCAGTCTTAGAAAAATGGTAAGGAAAACAGACCATATTAGCTAGTGTAAAAAATAAGAAAAGCTGTACCCAAGAATATTACATCTGAATGATTAGAGTTGCTCATGCATTCAGATCATGATTCTGAATCCATGTTTTTATAAATACCATTAATATCCTGCAATTCAAATATATTTAATTCCCAGTCTCTTACTAATTTACTTTTAGTAAATTATCATCGTCTTCCCACCCTTTTTCGAAATTTATTTATAACTAGCTTTTGTCCGCGGATCCGCCCGCGTGTATGTCGGTTATCGTGGTAAAGAGTAGCCTTTGTTACTCGCTATAATATATAAGGTTTCTTTTGGTGTAAGAATTTTTAAAATCGGTTTAGTGGTTCTGGCGTGAAAGTGTAACAAACAAACAAACTAACAAACTCACTTTCACATTTATAAGTATGGATTTACTTTTAGTCAAAATTACATAATAATAGGTTTAACCTCCCCCCGTTTCCCCTTAAAATATTAAATCCCATTTTCTGGACCCGCATACTGGACCTGCGTAATTAATAAATGAATATGGTATTCTGCATCACATCACATCACATCAATCACATCACCTGCTGAAAAATAAAAAATCTATAAAAATGAACACCACGTTGCAATAAAAGTGTATATTTGTGTCCAGGTATTGGGTCGAGGAGTAGGACTTTCCACACACTCGGACTCAGAACTGATCACACAAGCGTTATGCCTCAATCCTCCTGAGGGAGAGACTGATGGTCCGGATTGGCCAGCGCGTATCAACCACCTCATGAGGTAAATATCTTACTGCTTCCTATATTTAATTTTCTGACTAAAACTACCCCAACTCAAAAAATACCAATGACGATAAAAATACCCATACTAGAAATACCAATAACAACTATATAAAAATTACCCATAAACGGATTACAAACGTTGTTTAAAAAGAGATTGGATTAAAAATGAACTTTATTTCCCACACAGTAAGACTTTTCTGTTTAAAAAACTTTAGGCTTTTCATCCATCAAAATTACAGTACAATAATAATAATTGTCATTAGGTATTAAAAAACCTGCACGGAGACAAAAGGCAGTAATTGCACATTAACGTGCTTAATCGCCTTTTGAGCTACAAATGTACTAACATTTTTAATTATTCAATTTTACAGACTAGCTCCATTGAGTTATTCACTAGTGATTATGCTCAAGGACAAAATCTACGCAGTACGAGATCCGTACGGCAACAGGCCGCTTTGTCTCGGCAAGATTTTACCTCTAGGATCATCATGTAAGTACCCAAAAAAAGACATGAATAAAAACAATAATTCATAATCTTTGTTTCTACATCTATGCGGTTAATCATTTGCATTTTTATTAGAAGCGGTCTAGACACACAGATATACAAAGTGTTACCGTAGAGGTTAAATACTTTATCTGTTATTTCTAGCCTATGTTAAAAAATATTAAATATTATGTGCATGTAACTGTGCATAAAACCCATTTTAATTGCATGAAAACTAAGACACTGGCTTACTGGTGCATCATAATATATATATGTATATATATGGTTTTAATTAAAAAAAACATAATAAGAAAAAAGTTATTAAGACTATTATGTTCTTTAAAATAAGTTTTTATTGCATAGATGATTTATTTAACAATTAAATTAGTTTTTTTTATCTGTCATTACGCTGCCTATCAATAAGGAGTTACATAACATCATGTAAGTTATTACGTAATGCTTAAATTCTATTTATTAAATATGAAAATAATTTCCGCTGACTTTATATAGGATGCGGGTTCTACTCCTCCTTTGCTAATATGCGGCTGAAAAAAAAAAAAGGAATTTGGTTTTCAAATACCATTGATAAATTGGCGACGTACACTGCAAAAAAAAAATTACTTACAAATTTCGAACATTCTGATTCATTCACCATCTGAACGTATCTAAATCAGTGATGTGGTTAATTTGGTAATTACATTACTAAGAAAATATACCTATAGAATATTTATTCTCGAAATATACCTCATGATTATACACTCTGCTGTCTATCTTAGAACTAACCCATAGGACAGTACTCTTATAAATGAGAAAGTTTGAATGGATATTAGTAATTCAATCATGCCAAAACGGCTCCGAACAAATGAATAAAATTTGGCAAAAAACCGGGCATAGCACACAGACTATGTTTTATCCCCGAAAAATTGATTTAGAAAATTACCAGGAACAAACAGACAAACAAAAAGAATTTAAACTATTTTTCAGGAATAGGTATCGTGCAAATAACCGTGTGAGCATGAAAAACCCTATTATTTTGACATTATAAACAGACACTTCAATTAAATTTATTTGTATATTTCACAAATTGAAATGAAGATAATATAACTAACTGAACATTTCAGATGTCTACAAACAGTCTTCATCGCAGCATGTTGCGGGTAAAGCATGATTCACATTCATTACTTATTTCATTTCTTAACTACATTATATTCTATAGACATATAGATGGTCCAGTTTTTTGAGAGCCTGACTGCTAAACAAGAGGTTGTGGGTTCAAAACTAATAATAGCAACATTTATTTATTTTGTCCGTGTGGTGACGGAGTGTCATCACCCCTATTCATGCCCCGTGGGTGTAGTAAGAGCCGACTAAGGGAGCAAATTACGCAGGACAACAGCACTGCAGAGAGAAGGAAAACTTGAAACAAACCGACCACTGACCAGCGTGGTAGACCAAAACCTCCTTTCTAAGAAGAAGCTTATGTCCAGCAGTGGACTATTAAAGGCTGTTGATGTAAATGGCAACAGAGGTCATTGATTAGTAAAATTTTTATAAAACCAGTCATGCAGGGTGTACAGGGTGTGTACTGTGGTGGGGTTAGAACCGACAACCACTCTATGCATGTATTCAAAAGGTCATCCCATAACACATTTTAAGGTCATAATATCATTTAACTTCATTTCCACTTCATTCTGTGGGTCAAAAGTGTCAAAACATTTCATCATTTTTTATTATCATTCTGATTAAAAAAATATATACAATTATGTATATAATATATCTAGGAAATATTTAAAAAAATATGTTTTCTTTTTCAGTTTTAACGAACGGTTGTGCTAAGAACGGTTTAGAAGAGAAGCCAGAAGGATGGGTCGTGTCGTCAGAATCTTGTGGATTCCTGTCTATCGGTAAGCACACATTTTTCTCATTAAAAATAATAACTTCACACATCTCGGCACGGCAGTCTGTTCCCCAACTAGGCAGAACCTGTATTATGGTAACCAGACTGCTAATAAACATACTTATAAAATTTTGAATACATACATAAAATAGATAAATTACACCCAGACACAGTACAAATGACCGTCATCACACAATATTTGTTCCGGGTGGGAATCGAACCCGCTACACCGGGTGTTGGAGGGCCGATCCCACAAGGAACAAATTTATGTCTTCTACAAATAGTTTTAAAAAGTCTGTTGCATATATTTTTGTAACACAGAAATTAATGTAGTATGTAGTAATTGATACGCAAATAAAATAAATATTATTTAATTTAATAGATAGTTCTTTAATTTTTTTTTTATCTATATTAATGTCTCAAGCTTTACTTCTAGTTAGAAATTACTTCAAAATAAAAAATTACAGGTAGCATTGATTTTGATGAAACAAAATAGTGTTTGTTTTAAAACATGTAGTTAAGATGTGTTTTGTGGCCGCAGGTGCCCGCTACGTGCGCGAGGTGCTCCCCGGCGAGATCCTGGAGATGTCGCGCCACGGCATCCGCACCGTGGACGTGGTGGAGCGCCCCGCCGACAAGCAGCAGGCCTTCTGTATCTTCGAGTACGTGTACTTCGCACGAGCCGACAGTATATTTGAAGGTAAGTGTATTTATTACTTCTGAGGATTTTGAACATACATATATATATATATACTAGCTGACCCTGCAAACGTTGTTTTGTTATTAACATTTTTTTTTTTTTAATTTCTTAAAATCCGTTCTTAGCTGACCTCTACTCGGTGAAAAGAATATTCCTACCAAATTTCAAGTCTTTAGCTGTAATGGTTCCAGAGATATCGTGATGAGTGACTATATACGTGGAAATATCTTATATATATATAGATAAGCATAACCCGAAGAAGCAGATTAACAGCCGGAGGGGCTGTTAATCTGCTCCTTTAATTCTATCTTATTTTATTAATTCTATCCTTATATACCTCACCAATTTTCTGTCATTAAACTTTCCCTTTCGTCAGGCTGGTTTCAGTTTCTTAATAACAAATTTATTTTAACCTTATTATAGATTTTATGCTGTATGTTAAGTCCTCTGTTTCATATGGTCTTTATATTGCACTTTAAAAAAAATGCAATCTTTTCTTCCGTCTAATTCTCGTAATTAGAAAAAAAAGGTTAAGATATGTCATACTTGTATATTATTGGTATTTTATTTAATAATGAATATTAAAGGCGATGGATACACTATACAGGTACATATTTGTACTGTTAAGGCACTTAACAGTACAAATATGTTCGAGCTCCTGCCGTTGTATACACTTCCTAATCCATGAACATAAGCGATATCTCTTTTTGCTTTCAATAGCTCCCATTTGTGTCTATCTCAAATACCCTTAATTTTTCTCCCTAAATACCGAGGAGTCTAATTTACAGGAATAGATTTGCCCCCTAGTTCGTGAGAGAAACCAAATTTTATTTGATAAAAGTGGGGTGCAGTTAGAATGTATATATTGAACGTACCGTGTGTGGCAGGTCAGATGGTGTACTCTGCGCGCATGCAGTGCGGGCGCATGTTGGCGCGAGAGTCGCCCGTCGACGCCGACATCGTGTCGTCCGTGCCCGAGTCCGGCACCGCCGCCGCGCACGGATACGCCAGACAGGTAACCGTACAGCGACCATTACCATTTACCGAATATCCGGGGATCATATCCACCAGATAACCGGTTTTCAGTCGAATTAACTACAAACGTCAGGGTCCTCAATAATTTGTTTAAAATATTTCTTATTGAAGTTGAAAGAGGTAGGTGATCCATTTTTTTTTTTTGCAAATTCCAATTGCAAAGAATAATCTTGCAAGGAGTCCACCAGAAGTGATATAATATTCCACAAAAGCTAAAATCTGATGACAGATGTATCGCCCGAACCTTACAAAAGGGTGGTAATCCGCTGAGGGAAAAACTCATGTGAAAGTTATTTTCACTTTAAAGTCACTGTAAAGTGGTTACAATCGTTATTCTTAACACGTTGAACGCCACACAAAAAGCAGGTTGTTTCATTGGAGCCATGGGGGACACCGGTGGGCCAAACCATGTTAAGCTGTTGGAGCCACGGGGGTCACCGGTGACCCAAAGGAGGACTTCGATTCAAACCTGTTTTACAGGCCACCAAGCAAAGATATCATACAAAAATGTTAGAGAGTGAGCCGCGTGGCCCTATAGAACAATCTAGTCAGCTTGGTTTTCGTGTGTTGCAAAAGATTTAGAATATATTTACGATTTTCATTACTTTTTTGGGGTTATTCTAAACTTCATACACAATAAACTGGTAAAAGGGGTTTTTATAGAAAAAAATAATTGAATCTGAACGTAATATTTTTATTATTGATATTGTATAAATAGTTTTTAAAAGTTTAACACTTATTTTGTTATAGGGCTCAAAAAAGAACACCGAGAACTTAGATTTTAATAGGTATGACACAAGTTTCTTAAGTCTTATCTTTCTCTGCGAGAGAGAAAGATAAATATAATAATAAATAAATAATAATAATAAACAAAGGTTAAATTATTTATTTATGGCAAAATAAAAAATACTTACATAAAAAAAACTGCACTAAAATTCAAATAAATCTCTAAAAGAGATCTAACAAAATCAGTCTGCTAAATGGCGCCAGTATATGACACAACTATAAATGAAAAATAAAATATTTTTGGACTGAATTTTGTTAAAACATTCCAAACACAACCACGGTTTATTTGGACAACTTGTGCAATAAGTTACCACCTTTTTTGATTTATTTTTGGCCAGTTTTGCACCCATTATCTTAGCATTTTCCTTGTAGCATTGTTGACAGGTTCGTCTAGCTACTCTAGCTGTACCATCTTTCTTGGCCAAAATATGCTTCAGTGTCCTCGGCCTTTGTACTATCACAACTTGTTCGTCTTGGTTGGATAAATTCTTTAAAATTTGTGTTCTAAAGTTCACTATCTGAATGCTCTGCTTTTCAAGCAATTCAAGAGTAAATCAATTGCAAGTTTTTTTGTACCATTTTACGGATTTACGCAACGGACTAGAGTACGAAGTCATTTGATCCGATAAATCGACGGCACCTTTACCTTTATTGTAATCTACAATTATTTGCGGCTTGGATATCACTTTTCCACGCTTTGTAACATTGTGAAAACGTACAGAGTGCTTAGTAGACAAAACGAGAACATCTCTTTTATCCTTCCATTTCATTATAGTGATACAGTCTGCGCTTTCCTTGCCAATGTGTTTCGGCAATGTGTTGGCAAAATACAACACTTTTCGGAATGTTTTGCCGGTTTTTTCTGAGGGTGCCCACTAAATATGTCTCACTATTTAACAGCTTTCGGGCCAGGTCAACACTTGTGTACCAATTATCGGTATACAGTGTGTGGCCTGTAACAGCAAAATTATAAATATAATTACTTACCTGAAGTATTAGGAATAACCCTATTTTCACAGTCGCTTTCTTCGTACGTGATGAAACGTTATTCAATTCTTCATCCGAACTTAGTTGAAAACTGTTATTTAGGAGGGTTATCTCAACATTTTCAATTTCTGCTAAGTCCTCTTGACTTATAACAAAGTCTTCAAAGGCATCTACATCCATTATAAACAATAGAAAACTTAATCACGGCAATAATCACAGCAAAAATGATGAGGTGCGCGGGTGGGCCGCAGTGTGACCCCGTGGCCCCCGCGGAATGAAACACGCATTTTTTTCCAATTAGGCCACGCGGCCCACCCGTGTGCCATTTTACTAAATCTAAGGATTTAGTCATACACAAGCTGTTGTTTCTAATTAGTAGTACCAAATATCATATTTCTCATCGATTAGTGTAATAAAACAACATTTGAAAAAATATCAGAAATAAGATTTTGCTTTGGCTCCAACTGATTTTCTCTCTTGGCACACATCGTGGGCCACATGGCGTCCAACGTGTTAAACACTACACTCCATTCCCCGTATAAACATCCAGTCCCCTTTTCACCCCCTTAAAGGCTGATTTCTGGGATAAAAACTACCCTATGTCCCCGGGTTTTGGACTCTATCTCTATACCAAATTTCATCTACATCGGTTGAGCAGTTTTAGCGTAAAGAGGTGACAGACACAGCTTAACATTCATAATGTTAGTATGGATATTACTATCTGTTTTTATTTTAATTTGTAAATTAGACGAATCCAACACATAGTGTATCCAGGTTATTCTTTTACTTGTTTTTCTAAAACTGGGCTTGACTATGAAAAACTTTTAATTTGTTTTATATTTTTAAGGTCGAATATAAGTTTAATTTTTATTATTTTGTAAAATAAATATTGTACCATAATTATGGAGAAGTTTAGAGATTTTAATAATATTTTTGTATTATAAATAATTTCTTTGTGTTGTTTAAAAAAATACCAACATAATGCCACTTAATAATAATATTTATTTATCTAAAAGGGGGTTATAACATTATCACATTATCAAAAAGCATACCTCATAAAAATACACAACATGAAACATGTCTGACATGTAATGTTGTCACCTAGCTCGTTAGATGGCGCTGTGCCATTTTTGTGAATCACGGTGTTAAGAGTCTCCGTCAATGAATGACTACCTCGAGAGCGGCGACTATATTCATACTTACCTGGCATAGGGGATACCGTGATCATGAAGGCGGTTCCCCCAGGGCGAGACCTCTCCATTGCACTGCGGTTAGGTTGACCCCTGCGATTATCCCTAATGTGGATAACTCGGATGCGTAATTTTTGGTAGTGGGGACTGCGTACGCGCTGTCCCCCTTGTAATATTTATCTCTAGTGCTTTAAGTACCTCGGCTCCCTCTTACAATGGGATGGTGAGATTGATCGAACTGTAGAGCATCGAATCAGTACGGGATGGATGAACTGGCGGCAGGTATCGGGAACGACTTGTGACGCCAGTTTCCCCTTAACACTGAAGGGACAAATTTATAAAACTATTATCAGACCTGCCGTCCTGTATGGTTCTGAAAGTTGGCCCATTAAGAGATCGGATGAGAGACGCCTGAATGTAGCCGAAATGCGAATGCTGAGATGGATGTGTGGTGTGACTCAGATGGGACAAGGTTAGGAATGAGTATATACGAGGGAGTCTGAAAGTAGCGCCACTGGATGAAAAGTTAAGAAGTAATAGGTTATCTTGGTATGAACATGTCATGCGGAGGGATGAGGAAAATGTGGCGAAGAAAGTCTTAGGTATGGGAGTTGAAGGGTACAAGAGAAGAGGCAGATCGAAGAAAAGGTGGATGGACTGCGTGAGGGAGGATATGGCTAGGAAGGGAGTAAACAGTGAGATGACGCATGACAGAGTAGAATGGAAAAATCATACATACTGCGCCGACCCCAATAAAATTGGGAAAAGGGTAGGCAGATGATGATTTAATTTAAAAATATTACTTATTAATATCGATGTTAAGTCGGCAAACAACATCAGTGCTGAAATACAAATTTAATGCAACAATGGATTAAAAATCAAACTACTGGTATTTCGTTAAATAAAAGTTATATGATTTAGTAGTAGAGTAGAAAAACGGGTTATTATATTTAATGTTTTGATCTTGCAATTGTTCAGCATGTTTCCTAAAAAGATTCCATTGATCTACCTAGCAAAGTTTTGGTTTTCGACCTCTGGCCATTATAACACTGTAATAAAACATGTATGGATTTTAGAGTAAGGATAAGAGTTCTACTTGAAAGTAACGATCGAATACCATTCAGGAAAAGTACAGGAGTTCTGAAGCGAAAACCAATTTCAATATCACCTTACTAATTTTACCTTTTCATTTTTGATCATTAACATGATCTTGAAATATATTATTTTTCACCATTCATTCCAACATTAAGACTTTCATTGTGGTCAAATTTATCATGTTTATATTTTTAATTCAGAAAATAGAGCACCATTATTGTCAGGTATAGAAAGTTAGTTTAAAACCTAAAATAAAATATTAATTTAAATGCTATGAAACTAGAACTACAATATCTTTCTATGTCTACCGATATCACTGTTTTATGAACGAGTATTTCTTTGTGTCATTGTGTGGTCACACTACTCTGTTTACTTTCATAGGATTAAAAAGATAGTAGTATCTCAACCAAGAGGTAAGAAATATACACTTTTAAATCCCTATTATTTAGTAGAAACATTTTACTGAAAGTTAAATATGATAGACTTTTGATATTTCTCTTGTAAAGAAGCTTGTATATGTACATGTGTCAGCAGAGGTGAGGATTGAGGGACCAGTTTTAATAGTCGCTCTCCTCGAATTGCGTCAATATTATTATTCCATTTCTTTTTTACAAAATGTTTTAAGACACTAAATCTTCATGTAGAAATAGAAATAATTTATTGATTTGATTTGGTAATATTCACTAAAATATTAATCTTTCTTGTGCAGAATGAGGGACCACAGTTTAGTCGTTATATTTTTTTTTCCTTTGATGGTTTGTGGTCTGTTTTTTAGTAAATATCTTTACAAATTCTTTACTAAATGTCTGTAGTCACAATATCTTAATGTTTCGAATTTTTTGAAATTTATTTAATTACGTTTACGTTTTAAAGGTCGAATATAAGTTTAATTTTTATTATTTTGTAAAATAAATATTGTACCATATTATGGAGAAGTTTAGAGATTTTAATAATATTTTTGTATTATAAATAATTTCTTTGTGTTGTTTAAAAAAATACCAACATAATGCCACTTAATAATAATATTTATTTATCTAAAAGGGGATTATAACATTATCACATTATCAAAAAGCATACCTCATAAAAATACACAACATGAAACATGTCTGACATGTAAAATTGTCACCTAGATCGTTAGATGGCGCTGTGCCATTTTTGTGAATCACGGTGTTAAGAGTCTCCGTCAATGAATGACTACCTCGAGAGCGGCGACTATATTCATACTTACCTGGCATAGGGGATACCGTGATCATGAAGGCGGTTCCCCCAGGGCGAGACCTCTCCATTGCACTGCGGTTAGGTTGACCCCTGCGATTATCCCTAATGTGGATAACTCGGATGCGTAATTTTTGGTAGTGGGGACTGCGTACGCGCTGTCCCCCTTGTAATACTTATCTCTTAGTGCCTTTAAGTTTATCAGTCTACATCCAAGTTAAAAATAATACTTATTATTATCGATGTTAGTCTTCAAACATCAGACCTGAAATACAAATTTAATTCACCAATGGATTAAAAATCAAAAAATTATTGTCTAAAGCAGAATTTTGTGTTAGCATCTTTGTTACATACTCTATTAAAGAGCAAGTACAGTATCATCAGTAGTATATCAGTAAATACAACCTCGCCTTTAACTCCGAAGAGTTTGACAGGCACGTTAAACACCCATATATGCTAACTCCAGTATTCTTTAAAAAAACTACACCCGCATTAGGAATATATCCTGCGTAGCGGGAGACGCAGAACAACAATTTCTAGATCACACAGTGTTGTCTCACGTGGGGATCGAACCCACAATACTCAGCGTTGTAGAAACCGCGAGGTGACCGTTTGAACCACTACACCATTCGCGCACATAAGTCATTAAACTCTATTTACGTAGTATGGGCACTAAAACCTATCGCTTATTCAATTTTAGCATCGCAATATATTTTTGACATATTCTGCTCTTGTTACTAAACAAATTGTAAATTAAACTTTTTTTTAATACAGTCTGGTATTCCATTCATGGAGGTGCTATGCAAGAACAGATATGTTGGCCGCACCTTCATCCAGCCGTCCACACGCCTGCGGCAGCTTGGTGTCGCCAAGAAGTTCGGTGCTCTCTCTGAGAACGTGCGCCGGAAGAGAATCGTTCTTGTTGATGACTCTATCGTGAGGGGGAACACGATAGGACCTATCATTAAGCTGTTGAGAGACGCTGGAGCTGCTGAGGTGAGATTTTGTTTAGTCAGTATTAGTAAAAATAATAAAAAAATAAATATATTAATCAGTTTGAGCGCGTTTTACGGTGTACAGTGACCCAAATAAGACTAACCTACTATTACACATAATATTGCAATTAACTTTTTATAAACGATTAACGTAATTTTATAGGTAAAAACATATATTTTTGACCGACTTCAAAAAAAGAAGGCCCTCATTTCCTTTGAATTGTTTGTTCTTTTTATTTGAAAGGTCTGTTTGGTCCCAACAAAAATCCACCCCTAAAGATGAAAATAACGGAATGATATATTTTTTATACAAATCATCATGTACTTCATGATGAATTCTATAATAAGCACTTCTTCATTCCTCAATTTTCACATTTAAGTATTTTTTAACAAATTTAAGTATTTTATTCTATCGCAATGGTACGCAGGTGCATATAAGGATAGCATCTCCGCCGCTCAAGTACCCCTGCTACATGGGCATCAACATCCCCACTCGCGAGGAGCTCATTGGCAACAAAATGGACCCGCACCAACTTGCTGAACACGTCGGTTAGTTCAACTTTTACTTTTTGTTTCATAAATCATCCCAAGTAAAAAAAAAATATTATAGTAATATTTTATACCTTCTAAGGTGAAAGCTATTATTTTGACCAGTCTTAAAAGGAGAACGTTCCTTAAGGAGGATTGGGGGAACGCAAGCGCAAATTTGTGTGAAGGGCATGAGAAAAATTTACAATATGTATAAACAACCATTTTTATTGAGTAGAGCATGTTACAGTGCACTTTCAAACGCCAGTAGTAGAGTAATAATATTCATACAAAAAAAAACCGAAACACTAGAACAAAAATATGACCTAAGTGGCCATAAGTGTCACATAAACACATTTATATCCACTTATTGCAATCCCTATCCCTCAAATAAACTAGTTGTAGTACAGTGGTCCTTCTTTGTTATGGCTTTGGTACTACTTACTTACGTTTCATCTTCGTACCACTAAATTATTATTATTTTTTAGGACATCTGACACACAACGCCATCTAGTTTCAAACTAAGCAGAGTTTGTACTATGAAAACTAAATTGACTGATAGAATACTTATTTTTTTTCTGGAAGTACATATACATTATACATAGAAAACACCCTAACTCCGAAACAAATATTTGCAGATCATACAAACATTAGTTCCGACCCGAGAATCGAACCCGAGCCCTCAGCACAGCAGTCGTATACGCTACCACTGCATCACTATATACCCATAGCTAATCAATAAAAATATTTCCAGGTGCGGACAGTCTCGAATACCTCAGCGTAGAAGGTTTAGTGAGTGCAGTGCACTATAACATGAAGACGACTCCGAGTGACGGCGTCGGAGGGCACTGCACCGCCTGCCTCACCGGGGAATACCCGGGAGGGTTGCCGGAGGACGACTGGTGAATAATGGCCTCCCATAAAGTCTGCTGTGTTAGTGAATATGTTGTGTATGGGACATGGTGAAGTTATTTGTATAAGTACAACTCTGTTATGTAATGTAATCATCAAACGTAAATCTTTTATACATATCAAGATTAATAGTGTAAGTAATGGTTATTATCAGCTCTGGTACTTTTTTACTGGTCATAGGCCTTATCTCACCATTTAATCCAACATTCGACCATCATTACCCGAAATTACATTTTAATTTGTTATTTTTGTTAGAGGTTTAAAGTAAGCAGATTTGATTTGTTTTGTTCGTGCAGTGATTTGGTTTACTATCATAAAATGTAATGAAACATATTAAAGAGAAGGGTAAACCATGTGGCTAGGAAAGTGCAAGGTTACAGATATAATATTATTTTATATTATAGTGAGAACTGACAAAAATTATGGATCACGAAAAGGCCATCATTGAAAGACCTCACAGTTTTAAATTATCTGTTAAAAACTGTATGATTCAATTATTTTGTTCCTATGAATATCAAATGTATGTATAATTAATCAAAAACAGTTCAGGTTAGGTAAAAATGTAAAGTGAAAAAAAAATCGAATATAAAACGAGAATTTACGTTATTATAATTTATACAATACATTATTTGACCAGTAAATAAACTGGTCATATAGTTTTATAAAATAAATTTTATTTTAGACCCAAACACACCTAGTACAAACAAGTACTAGAAATATATTGCAAATTTTACAATAAACTCGGTAGCGTCGTAACTTGTCTAGTTCTGTACCTTAATGAAAACTGATTGGTACACAAAGAAAAAATTGTGCGTACAAAAGACCTTTAAAGATCTTTTATACGCACAATGTTTTAATTGGTGACGACGTTGTTGCGGCAATAAATAATTATTGTAATTGATTCTAGCGTGGCCATGGTAATATTTTTTTTTATTATATACATACGACCTTTTTTCAAACACTGTCTCGCTATCGAATATAATAATTATCACAGTAATTTCAATTTATAAATTTTGTTACGTTAGCAAAGTCGACGAAGAAAGCAAAACAATGCTCTCGTCTCTTTATTTTAATTATTTTACTAATTGTTAATAATACTAACAGCAGTTCCTATTTCTAATCTCATATTACAGAAACCCAAGATTTTATGTCTTATAATATAGTTACAAGTCTTTGGGTTTTTGAACTATTATTAAAAGATCTTACGAATATGTTTTCTGGCAGTACTTTTGATGTCAGTGTAAAAAAAATAGAAATCCATTCCATTTCAAAATCTCATAGTTATTAAGTTATACGTTATGTCAAATAAAATGCATTTCATCCGAAATTGTCCAATTTTAGTTTATTTACTAGGTTTATTTGTAACAATTTAGAGCAATTGTCGTGCTGGTAACGACAGCAAATTAGTTAACTCAATCAACTACTAGTAATATTTTGTAAAGTAGATATTATTTCTTAATAAAATATTTTAATATTTCATTTCAAGCGTTTTTTCTATTATTGTTGAGGCCTCCGAAAACCAATCCACCGATGGGATGAAAAATAACGCTCGTGATCTTGCTTAAGAGCAGGTTAGATTTAGCGAAGGACATTGAAAATTTATTGTTTTCTATGTCCTACGCTGTGTGATTAGTCACCTGTAAGCCCAGCGCTTTGATGCGTCCGACTGCCAGAGAGTGCATTGGCCAGTGCTCTTAAATGACGAATGGCTGTTACTAAACTAAAAAAACAATCTTAAATTCAAAAGTTATAGGTCTTCAAAAGTATTCTGTAAATTAATGATATTAAAAAAAAACAACCAATTATCGTCATTCATCAACCTATATACATTTTATTTACAAAGGAACAATAACAGTTTTGTTTTTGTCTGTACAACGTTTGAACGTAAAATTAATAAAAATATGAAGTAATACATTAAATATGTCTTATGAAAGTCAACAGTTTTATATATTTGGGCAATTATTTGAGTTTTTTTATACCATAGAAGTAATCATAATAAATTATAAAAGATTATGCTAAATAACATTAGGGCAACTAAGTATAGATAAGTAAATAATAATAACTAGCGTGGAAAGAATATTTCTTGTACAGATTTTAATATAACATTCGACAAAGATTACACCTAGTAAAGTTAATAACAATTTAATGCAATCATTACTCAAGAAAGTCGCATCTTCTTAACTTCACAGAAGTCTACTTGTCTGTTGTAGCATTACTTGTTGGTTATTCAACTAACAGTTTTGTGAAAGTTACATATCGGGTGTTCCACAAGGCTGATATTTAGGTCCTACACTGTTAAACATTGAAAACTACTAAAAACAGTGAGCGATCAACAAGTTCATATTTGACACATAACGAGTATGCTTAGCCATTTCTGTATGCGTATTTTCAATACGCGAAACAAAAAATTGGATTGCCCTAAATACCATATTACACTTTTTTTTCATTAAACGATTTTCTTTGCATTAAATTATTCTACAGAATAACTGCTGTTCGTATATCGTCATAGATATTAAAATAACTTTTTGTAAGTGCTTACTCATATATGAATTAAATAAAAATGAATTCTTTAACAGAATTGTCAAAACAAAGCCTAGTTAAGGATTTCTTCTAACTCCCACTCTTGAATTTCGGGTTTTGGGGCAATCTGAGATTTAATAATTGGGGTGTGTAGGCAAAGGCTCGAGCAGGCTAGGGTGTGTAGCTTTTTTTTATTGTTGTCGTATTGAAACCACTAGTTATCGTGTCACTGGAGCCGACGGTGACTTAATAAATAAATAAATGAGTCTATAATAGAGAATCTCCGAGAACCCATGCAGACTTAAGCCGTAAGATCAGCAGGCGACAAAGTGCCCAGTGGAACTGTATAAATAGACAGGTATTGTATTATAATCATGAAACTTTTTTTCTGTTTTGACTAAAATAATAATGTAAGTATATTATAATTGATTGTTAATGATATTTTTTACTTGTAACAGGTATAAACTTGTATAGAGGTATATGCATAGTTTATCTGTAGGTGGAATATAACAGTCTATGTTATTATGATATACGATCAGATCGATTTTATACAAGTATTGCAAGATTAAAATCAATTATTACATATCTCTGTAGTCAAAACAAGCAGAGCATGAACAACTCACCACTTCGGGGCCTGTATATATTATAGTTTATGTGAACGCATACTTAATACTAATTATATACAAAGTCTTTCAAGTTGATGTTCCTGTCTTAGTGGAAGAGTAGTCAAACTAATCTCTGAGAGTAGTCAAACTAAGATACGTGCCTGCCACCACGGCTTTTTTGAGTTATTGCCATCTCAGTTTATTTTATCATTTAAGACTTATGATATCTATTACTTTAGCTCTCTCGTTTGTTTTCCTCACCCCAATTTATTTCCTGCCTTTGACCTGTATAAAAATGATTAAATTCCCATAGAAGTTTCGCGTCATGCAGCAAAACTCTTAGCACATATTACGATGTTTATGTATATTCCCTCACAATGTAGTTGGAAGAAGGACAGAAAATTAAGATGACGCTGTGCAAAATGATCTTCAGAATTATAATAAAAAAAAATGCAAACTTTTGTGAAGTCAAAACATTATGATAGTTGAAGATGGCTGTCAAGTCAACCCTTAGTCTTGTCTATTATTGTCAAGTCACTTTGTATACTGACTTAGGCAAGAAAAACTTAATTTTGAGTATAGAAAAGTATCAAATGACAGGTTGAGTGTACATGGGTGTAATTATGAATGAATTCGTCGGTTTTAAACGACTGTTTAATTATAACGGTGTACGATAACATTGAGAATTGCATTCAACGGCAATTAATCAGAGGGATAGTATGAGTTTATTTCACATCAAGTCCATGGTCACAATGACCGCATTCGGTGTTAATCTTCACCAACCTCAACGCCAAAAGCGGTCACCGTCGAGAACGAGTTTATGTACACCCCTATTCATCCCGTGGATGTCGTAAGAGCCGACTAAGGGATCAAACTACGAAGGACAAGAGCACTGCAAAGAGAAGGATAACTTGACACAAACCCGTCTGGCCAGCGTGGTATAGTAGGCCAAAACCTCCTTTCTAAGGAGAGGTCTATATCCAGCAGTGGACTATTATAGGCTGTTAATGTTGATTGATGAGGTTGTACTGGCCGTGGTTACAGATTGAGCCAGTCAATCTGTATGTCTGTCAGTCAGTGGTAAGTCTCAGGATTGCATAGAAACAGAAAATATCTTTTTTTTTCAAAAGATGGTTGTCTAGTAAACCGAATAAAAAATTGGGGACTATACAAGTAACCGATATTCTGTACACCCTTATCTAACAAGAATAGATCATATATCGAGCATTTGTCTTCAGAAGTTATGTTTCCCAACAATATTCTCGATATCGTCGACCTCCTTGACACAGGAGCTGGTGAGCACCTCGGGTTCCCCGCTCGTGACCAGTACGTCGTCTTCGATCCTGATGCCAATGCCGCGGAACTCCTCTGGAACGGACGTGTCGTCTGATCGAATGTAGATACCTGGAGATATTAGTAAATATCAATGTAGTAATAGAGAATTAATATCAGAATGAAACATTTTGAACAATATTCTGAACAACATAGATTGCCCTGAATTAATGGTAAGAATCCATTTCTCAGCGCCAAGTAGGTTGCCGCACTCAAGTGTCTACAGGCTGTTCAGTTTATGTAGATATAAGTTTAATTTAGGGCTCAACTCGCCTGGCAACGCGCTTGTGACTCCTGAGTTGCAGTTGTTTATGCCCATAAACGGCGGTAGTCGCTTTCCATCAGGTGACCCTTTTGCTAGTTTGCCCCCTATTCCATTAAAAATAAACTTAACCAGAATCGCAAAATCTTGCAACTAATTTTCTCGTTTGTTGTAATATTACGAAGTTCGTTGTAAGATTTTGTCCAAATGTCAAAATGTCCAAATATTATATGGTAATTTTTCTTTAATTCACCTGGAGATTGTGTGCCTATTTTTTTTTAATGTATTAAAGAGAGAGGTTAACAGAGAACCAAAGACTCCCCCCCTCCCCACCCTTAGTCAGTAACAGGTGACCCATCTCGACTTTCTAAACCTTGTTATCTACTCGAAATATAACCATAAAAACACCGGCTGGCGAGCGCTGGATGTAAGAGGGTCATCATCAGGTCTACATGAAATTTAAATGGGACCATTTTGGAATAAAGATCTTTGGAACAAAAAAGAATTTTGAAAATCCATCTTCATATGACAGAGTCATGTCCGAACATCCATTAAAAAAACTTGCCTCCTTCTTTTTGAAGTCGGTTAAAAACCAACACCAACCGTTGACCACCAAAAGAGAAAAATGTCTATATTTTAGTAATACTCTACAAATCACTGCACAAATGGCGTAGTGGTATAAGCGGTCACCGCGCCGCTTCCTACTACACTGAGTGTTGTGGGTTAGATCCCTAAATAGAACAACACTGAGTGATCCACAAATTGTTATTCTGAGTCTGGATATTTTTTGTGTCTGTTTTATGAATAATAAATAATTTATTTCCATAAAAGATACAAAAAACTTTATATCAGCATTCTTAGTTGTCTGCAAGTTTTATAAGTTTATGACATACAAATTATACCCAAAAATGGCGGTAATTAATTAATTCGGTGGTTATGTTTATTACTATATCTTGACTATCTTCTAACCCAGGTTGTGACCGGTATCTCAGAAGATAGGAATGTTTGTAAAGTCCCCCGCGACTCAGGATATATTCCTAGTGCAGGTGTTCCGTACCTGGTTCCACGGTGACGACCATATTATCACAGACGGGCACATTCCTCCTCACCAGGGACGAGTCGTGCACGTCCAGGCCGAGGTAGTGCGACACGTGGTGTGGACATAGACGATACGCTTTCTGTAATATTATATGTAAGATTTTATTATATTCTAATTTAATAAACCGTCAAGTGTGAGTTTGACTCACGCAACGAGGGTCCGTGCATACTTTTAGGTAGATCTTCCATCTTTAGACTATCAATCTAATCTAAAGTAAATCTAAAAAAAACAATCTAATTTAAAGGTAGCTTAATAATAATAATATTAATTATACACAATTTTTTTTAGTGACAACATTTATGTTGCCGTTTTAAAAATGTATATACGTCGCTATATGTAATCTCTACTAAAATTATAAATGCGAAAGTAACTCTGTCTGCATGTCTGCTACGGTTTCACGCCTAAACCACTGAACCGATTTCGATAAAATTGGGTATAAATATAGACTAAAGCTTCTGGAAGGACATAATATATCTTTTATCGTGATATAGCTTATATGTCTTTTTATCGCCAAAAAAAGACAAGGGGTTGAAATAGGGGATGAAATTTTCTATGGAAGATCGTCATTGTCGAAGATAAAACCACGAAACAGTAGTTTTTATGTGTTTATTATTGGCAAAATAGGTATCCTAAAAAAATAAAATTTAACTATTCCACGCTGCCCAACGTAACTATTCCACGCGGACGAAGTCGGTTAAAAATGATTTTATTAGTTATTTGAGAAGGGTCCTATTAATACTGACCCCAATAAGTTCCTGTCCTTCAATGTTCTTTGGTAAAATGCCCTCCTGTTGTAAGTGCTTACCCAGCAGGCGACACATGCTGTCGAACAGCTGGTCCAGGGGTGGTCGGTGTTCGCCCAGTATCTCGATCAACCGTTTCTGGGGAATAGGGTAAGGCAATCTATGAATGTAATGATAAAACAAAATGTAGGAAGATGATAAAGGCAATCGTAAAATCACTGTTTTAGTTCATAGACTTAGAAATTAATTATGACGACCGAATGGCGTAGTGGTTTGTGTAACGGACTGCTATTCCAAAGGTCGCGGGTTCAATTCCCGGTCAAGTCAAACATTTGTGTGCATGAACATTTAATGTTTGATTTGGTCTGGGTGTTTCTATGTATAATATGTATGTATTTACAAAAAAAAAGTATATATGTATTTATATCAGTTGTCTAGTACCCATAGTACAAGCTCTGCTTAGTTTGGGACTAGATGGCGTTGTGTGAATGTGGTAAAAAAAAAGAAACCAAAATACCACTAAATTAAAAACAAGAATTTCAACAATATAAAAAAATTCAAGCGAAAAGAGAATCGCCTCCTTTTTAAAGTCTGTTAAAACTAGGTTGGGTCGATTTTTAAGTCTACTAAGTTTAACCTGCCCGCCGAGGCACGGAGGGGTCTTAATGTCCCACCTCAGAATACAGATAATGCATTACTATTTTGCCTAGTAAGCAGAACAGTTTTATCATACCGACTATTATTACTGTAAACGGTTGTGATAATTATATTAATGATGTCAAAAAAAAGTTTCGATAGTTCTCAGAAGTTTTCTTGTTTCCATTTTTCGTGTCTAAATAAAACAAATTAGAATTTACCTGTACAGCGAGAACCAGCTCGTACAGTATTCGTTGGTGTTTGGTGAACTTGCCCGAAACCGGCCACGTTCTTGATATGTCCGAGTTGTACAACCATCGCTGGCAACCTGCGAAAGTTGATACTTGTGTCTTGGTAAACAACTTTTAAATGCCTTAAACCTAAGGATTTTATCTATGAATCTATAATTTTGTTTAGACTTTTAGGCTATCAAATTGAAAGTAAATTTACAGCAAGAAATTACTTATTTTAACAAAATGTGTACATTTTCAGAAATTATAGCGTTTTTTTTTATCGAGATACGTGTACCCTATTAATTGACTGCACGGATGGCGTAGTGGTTTAAGTGGTCGCCACGCCGCTTTCTACTACGCCGAGTGTTGTGGGTTCAAACCCCACATAGGACAACACTTTGTGTGATCCACAAATTGTTGTTCTGAGTCTGGGTGTTCTTTGTGTCCGTTTCATGTATGTTTGTAAAGTCCCCCGCGACACAGGAATATATATTCCTAATGCGGGCGTTGTCTTTTTACAAAAAAAAAAAAAATATGGCCATATTAAAAAATGTTGAAGCCAAAATAAAGGAGTATGTTAAAAGTGTGTTTCGCTCGTTTTCACATTACTCATATTAATTAATTGCAGGCATTATTTCAAATATTATTTATATATTCTTTTCATTTTTAATCTGTGTATATTTATATTATATCAACAAGAGCCTTTAACAGTCCACTGCTGGTCATAATCCTCTCCTTAGAAAGGAGGTTTTGGCCTACTATACCAGGCTGGCTAGACGGGTTGGAATAGGGTTTGTGTCAAGGTTTCCTTCTCTCCGCAGTGCTGTTGTTCTGCGTAGTTTTTTCCCTTAGTCGGCTCTTACGACACCCACGGGATGTTGGTGACACTCTGTACTCTTAATCCGTCACCACGCGCATATTATGTAATCGTTACTAATTCATTCATTCAGCAATTATTGCATGCCTCACTCATCTTTTAATGATATTATGGAAAAAGTTTTAAATTCCAAATCAGACCACAATGTAAATACTTCATTAGTCATTTTTGTTGGTAACAGGGGAAATGTAAACAAAAAGAAATTCTTAGGCTACTTTGAATCATTGTTAAAATTAGATGTAAATAAAATTGTATTGTTTACACTTCCTCTTAGCAAAGGGTTGTCGCAGAAGGAAAGAAATGTTAGATATAATTTAAATATAATGATGCACAACCTAACGTGCCAAATAAATGGACCCTATTGTAATAAATTACATCTAATCGACACTAACAAGCTTGTTAGTAATAATATTTCATTGACGAAAGGTAGATATTACCTTTCTAATTATTATAAGAGACAGATAGCAATTTCGCTATCATATTATTTTTCCATTACAGCCAAGAACTTGGCTAAAACTATTGCTTCTATTGAGCAAATTGACATTACCCATAGCGACTTTGCCAATCCGTTGGCAGATATTTCTTTAGACATTAATAAAAATTTAAATGACATACCTAATAATTTACATAATAATGAGATTGACATTTCAAATAATTTAAATTTACTGATAAGACAATAGAGACTACCTCTTGCAATATTAATTTGATCACTAATAGAAAGTTCAATCACAGTAAATTTATTAAAAATAATATGATAAATAATATAAATTTGGTGCATCAAAACATTAGAGGAATGATGGGCAAAGACTTGGAGGTGGAACTGTTCATGAACTGCAATGCAATTGATATTTTTTGTATTACTGAACACTGGCTAAAAGGGGATCAGTTAATGTTCAATTTTGACCACCACCAGGTAGGCAGCTCGTTCAGCAGAAGTACAGCAATACATGGTGGCACTATGATACTCATTAATAAGAAACTTAAATTTAAAGAGCGCCATGACATTGTTAGTTTATCAGTTGAGCGAACTACAGAAATAGCCTGTTTAGAACTAAAAGGTTTCATAGTAGTATGTGTATACAGACCTCCTTCAGCTATGTATGATTGTTTTGAACGTGTTATGGATGAAGTATTAGTTAAAGTAACAAGATCAAAAAAGAAGGTCATCATCTGTGGTGACTTCAATATTAACCTATTGGAAAATTCAAGTATAGTAACCAAGTTCAAGGCACTTTTTCAATCATACAATCTGAAGAACTTGTTCTTGGAGCCTACACGAATCACTGCCACCACTGCCACATGTTTGGACAATATATTTACAGATATTGTTATTAAGGACAAGAAAATAATCAATCAATTACAATCTGACCACTGTGGTCAATTAGTATCTTTCTGTGATAGGTATGAAAAAGTGTCAGAAAAAAGAATTGTGGTGATACCTAAAACCGCAAAGCGTTGTGAAAACTTTAAGGATAAACTTAAAGCTGCTTTTAATAATTCAGTACTCTGTGTAGAGAATAACCCTAATACTTATTATAATAGTTTTTTTGAAACTTTCTCTTCAACATTTAACACCATTTTTACACCAAAAACGCTAGTGGTTAAAGGTAACGCCACATTTAGTGAATGGGCTACCCCTGGCTTACTCAAAAGTAGGAAAAGATTATACGAGCTATACGATGAGAGGAATTATAATAAAAGTGAACAGTTTCATAATTATGTTAAAGAATATTCGAAGCTGTTTAGGAAACTTTGTAAACTGGCTAAGTCTCGTTTTATTAGTTCAAAGATTAAAAGTAGTAATGATCAGATAAAAACCACTTGGAAAATTATTAATAGTGAAACTGGCAAAGATCCAAACCGTAATAATGAATTTAATTTAAACATAAACAATAAATTTATCACATCAAATGCTGAGGTTGCTGCTGCATTTGAGAATTTTTTTACTAACATTCCTGTATCAACTACTAAATCTTTGAACTCCTCACCATACCTTGCAGAATCAATTTTAAAAGAGAATGTTAGAAGAATTGATAGTGAATTTAAGTTCCAATATGTGTCCCCCTTTGAAATTATTAAAGCCTTTAACACTATTAATGTTAAAAAAACAACCGACCTATGGGGAAATTCTGTTTTAATTACTAAGACAATTATATCTCTTGTGGCTAATCAATTGTCATTTACATTTAATCAATGTGTTGATGGTGGTGTATTTCCTGATCTTATGAAGTCTAGTAAAATTATTCCCTTATTCAAATCTGGTAGTACATCTGACCCAACTAACTTTAGACCTATCTCAGTACTACCAGTATTTAGTATTTAGTAAAATTTTTGAAAAAATTATGTATGATCAATTGCACAGTTTTTTTAATAATAATAATTTATTGCACAATAGACAATTTGGTTTTACAAGGGGTCGCTCCACAACTGATGCTAGTGTTGAGCTAGTAAAACATATATTTGATGCCTGGGAGGATGCCCACGATTCTCTAGGTATCTTTTGCGATTTATCTAAGGCTTTTGATTGTGTTGTTCATGAAACGCTGATCAGGAAATTACAGCACTATGGTATCAAAAATAAAGCCCTGGAACTACTTGCCTCATATCTATGTAATAGGATTCAAAAAGTTGATATTAATGGTGAGCGGTCTCCAGGCTCTGTGATAGAAATGGGCGTTCCACAGGGTTCTATTCTCGGCCCTTTTTTGTTTTTAGTATATATTAACGACTTACCTCACTTTGTCAAGGACAATCTCGAGATTGTGTTGTTTGCAGATGATACATCACTATTATTTAGACTAAAACGGACACTTTCTGATTTCACATTTGTAAACAGCGCCATTTCGAAAGTGGTTCATTGGTTTGATGTCAACAATTTACTATTAAATGAACAAAAAACTAAGTGTATACGTTTCACTATGCCAAACGTCAAGCCAGTGAAAACTACTGTGATAATTAAGGATGTCGGGCTGGACCTTGTGGACACTACGACATTTTTAGGTATAACACTAGATGCTAAGCTACAGTGGGGCCCACATATTGATAAATTGTCGAGTAGACTCAGCTCAGCAGCATACGCAGTAAGGAAAATCCGAGAGTTGACTGATGTTGATACAGCACGACTTGTTTACTTCAGTTACTTTCATAGCATAATGTCGTACGGTATTCTGCTGTGGGGGAATGCTGCCGACATTCAAACTATTTTTGTGCTGCAAAAGAGAGCTATTCGAGCACTTTATAATTTAGGCAATCGTTGTTCATTGAGGCAGAAATTTAAAGAAATAAATATAATGACAGTGGCAAGTCAATATATTTATGAAAATGTAATATATGTTCACAAAAATAAAGATAGCTTTTTGAAAAAAAGTGATGTACATGCCATAAATACCAGATATAAAAATAAATTTGTTGTACCCGCCTCTAGGCTCCAAAAGATAAACAAGTCTTTTCGAGGTCAATGTGTCCGATTTTATAATGGAATCCCAAATAGTATTCAGGAGTTGAGTATTAACAAATTTAAATCCGCAATAAAACGTGGCTTGTGCCAGAGGGCCTACTACTCGATTGTGGATTACATGGAGGACAAGAATGCTTGGGATTAATTAGCGCAGGCTATTTCTTTCTTAAGTAAAAATGTGGTGTGGCTAGTATGTTTTTTATTATTTTTTCTATTTTTTATGTTTCACTTCATTTTCTCTTGTATTCGTTTGTTCTTCTTAATCTTGTTTTCTCTTCGTTGTTTTTTCACCTTTAAGTCCTTAATAACGGACATACTAGCACACATCAAAACAATGTTGTGATATATTTAATAGTGCCATTGTATCTACTTGTGAATTGCAAAAGAGTGGCCATGAGTTTGTTTGCCCTTTCTTCTCATAAGGCTCAACCCCTTGGAAACGGGCGGTTGTAGATCGGCACAGGCATATCATAGATTTTGTATGGGTTTGATTTTGTTAAATTTATTTGGTTACTATTTGACAAAACAGAGATTGTTGCTTTTGTGTGTGTTGATCTATGACTTTAGAGTCTACATGGAAGACGATTTCAAACAATTTTGAAAATTTTATGAAATAAAGAAAGTTTGAGTTTTGAGTTTTGAATTAGATAGTAATAGGCAGTTTTAATTTTCAATTGTGTAAATATATTAACAAATGAATATAAGACGAAAACATAACTATACACGCAATTTGCAACCTATAGAACGCAAGATTACAGTTCATTATCGCAAGATTAAATTTTGATGAATAATCAAATTCTTGTTGATTTTTGTTTGTGGTAGGTACCAGAGTCGACGAGGATCATATCCCCGTCCCGCAGCAGCTGGTTGTTGTTGACGTAGTGTATGTGCGTGGCGCGCGTGCCGCCGGCCACCACGGGCGGGAACGACAGGTGCTCCGCGCCGCCCTGCTTGCTCGAGTACTCCAAGATGGCGTTTATCATATGCTCGGACACACCTAACAGTTATATCATTTAAACAGCTTAGTTATTATACAGGTTGTAAGGGACGTCGTAACGAATACTGAAAAATTGTATTCAGACCATCATTCTGAGTCGTTATTGGAATTTTCTGCCGAAAAATTAAACGTTTTATGCAATCAGCTGTCAAAGGGTAAGGTCATACTCAGTAGGTATCGCACAAAAGTAATAACTATATTTGTATTCCGTGCAAATAGTCTACGCACACTAACACAAGGGAGGCCCCACGTGCTTCGTCTGTTTGATTAATTACATTGCAGCGTTTGACTGTATGCGGTATTTATTAAATTGTTTTAGGTAAAATGTTCTATTCACTTATTGTGATAATATTTTTTATCACTTCTAAAAATAATAATTATACAAAACATGAAAAATTATACAAAACAGAAAATTGCAATAATTTTCGACTCAGGGACTGCGACTAGACATGGAAGAATCACAGTTCACTATGACTTATCATGGGTTGGGTTGCTACTTATTCACGCGTTGTTGCCTATTTAACAGTAAATCTAGTTTTTTTAATAATTACGTAGGGATTGGTAGCTATATATAATATAATAATTACTAGATTTACTGTTAAATGGGCGAAATAAAGTATTTAGGCATCGTCTGAAAACAGGTTATTGTCAACAACGGGTGAGTAAGTAGAAACCCTAACCTACGTTCGAAAAAATCGAATGATAAATCACAGTTCATTCACAGTTCAGTGTGATTTTGTCCTATGACTTGTAAGTACGTACCTGGTTTGGTATAAGCCATCGCTATATTCATAGACTGGCTGCCAATATAGCATGTCTCCTTCATCAGCTCAACCTCAGCCGGGGACTTCGCTACTCTCATGAGGTGTAAAGTTCTCTGAGGGTCAGCTAGTGTAACCAGGCCATCTCGTTTAAGGGTTGCACGGACCGTGTCGTGGATATCATAGTTGGCTGGAGACTCGTTGTGATACCACAGTGTAGCAGGTTTGGATGTGGATGCTAGTCTAGAAATATGCCATATGGAACTAGATAATTTTAAATTCAATTATTTCAAATCGTCCATTGTCTTGTTTTAATCTTTATGTTAGTATGTGAAGAAATTTCTTTGTAAAGTGTAAGTCTGATGTAAAGCCTATTATGTTTGTAATACTGTTTATATGTAGAACTTGTGCAGAGGGGTCCATGCATAGGGCTCTAGTATATAGACAGATTGGTACTCTTTATTGCACATCATAATTAGGATACATACGATGCTACATACAACAAAAAACAGTGATACAGTAGGCGGCCTTATCTCAGTCTGCGATCTCTTCCAGGCAACCTTTAGATGGTGTATACTATATAGTAATATGTAGCGTGTGGTGCGCATTTACAATTTCCGTATATTTAACTAATATTTACATACATAGCTACATATACATATACACGAATACACATTCATACACTTAGTATGTATATGTAATGGTTTAAAAGTCTATATATGGCAGTTTAAGTTATACTGGTCAATTAAATGAAACAAAACTTTAACAACGGTCGAAATTAGACCGACACGCGATCTATACAAGAGATCCAAGATCCAAGAGAGAGAGAGAGAGAGAGAGAGAGAGAGAGAGAGAGAGAGATTAAAATTATAAATGAACTAAGTCAATGCAAGAAAAAAAATGATACTCAGATAATGCTGTCTGCAGGTGTCAATATATAAGCGCCCTTTTACAAATTGTTGCGCCTTGTATGAAGAAATCAATGAAAAAAACTCAAGTAGAAATTGTATTATTGATCAATACACATAGATAGCGATCTCAACTATTTGAAACTGAGTATTACTTGTAATTTTACCGTATTTTTCAACTTTTAGTCGTACTACAAATAAAGATTTTTTAAAACAAAATGGAAAGGTCAACACTCATCATAAATTTATGTTATTAAATGTAAATTATGATGTTTAAAATAATAATTAAAAGGGGTTAAATCACTTGTATCATGATGGCAAAACACACATTACGTCATTAACCGTTAACAGGCTGACAATTGTCACTGTCACGAATGAACAATGGAGTACTGTCAGGTTATCGGTTAATGACGTAATAAAACACATATGACATATGTGAGTGTTGTAGCGGGAAAAGCAACTTTGTTTCTCGGTTTAAAAAATACAAAAGTTTCTTAAAAAAGATTTTAACATAATTTATTTTCTTTTTGCGATAACTAAGTGTATCAAAGCCAAAAATCGATCTAAGTGGCGTGCAATGGGAGAGGCCTATGTCCAGCAGTGGACTGCGATAGGCTGATGATGATGATGAAGTGCATCGTGACAAAAAAAATGTTTTAAAATTTGGAGAATATGTGAACATCCACATTTTCCATCTTTATTTCATTTTTTTATGACGTTTGATTTTTTTTTTATAATATGTTGTCAATAAATAATTATATCAATAACGTTTAGTTACAATACCAAATACATACCGATTTAGATAGGTGCCAAAGTTATCGATAGGTCTTGCCTCGTCGACTGCAAATAATAAGGTGGCGTTGGGGCAACCTGTGCGCGGACCTTCCCATAACTCTGCGTGCTCATCCTTATCGTGAACGAACAGAACAGACTGAGGAGAGAAAAATAAATCTTTAAACTATTAGTAAGTTTAACACAATTACCGTGTGGTGACGGATTAAGAATATGGAGTGTCACCCTTATTCATCCCGTGGGTGCCGGAAGAGTCAACTAAGGGGGCAAACTACACAGGTCAACAGCACTGCAAAGAGACGGAAAACTTGAAACAAACCCTATACCAACCCGTATAGCGAGTGTGGTATATCATCATCATCGCAGTCCACTGTTGGACATAAGCCTCTCCTATTGCACACCACTTCGATCGATTTTAGGTATATATAGTAAAAACCAAAACCTCCTTTCTAAGGAGAGGTCAATGTACAGCAGTGGACTATTTAAGGCTGTTGATGATACCTTAATTAATTACTACTAACCTTGTCATACTATTTTGCATTCACACCCCCCCCCCCCCCATTTCTCTCTCTCTAACTCAAAGGGCGACAACGCACTTGTGATTCTTGACTTGCAGGAGTCTATGGGCGGTAGTAGTCATTTGCCACCAGCTGACCCTTATGCTCGTTTGCCCCCTTATGCCATAACAATAATTTCGATCAAGCTGTTCATGCATTGTTAATACAATATGGAGTGTTCATAATAATTTGTTTATATAAGTACGTAAATAATTTATGAGATATACCACAATAAATAAATAAATAGATTATACAGATTTTTTCATATTATGACGTCACAGATATTACGTCCATGACGTCACAGATTTTTTTATGTGTTACATCTTTCTTCTAATTTTTCTGCAATTTTGAAATTGAGTGACACAATCAAAGAAATCCTTTTTTTTTTGTATTTAATTAAAGTTAACCACCAGAACTGTTTTTTGATTTGACCAATGAGCGTGCAGGTGAGGTGTATGCAACTACCATTAGAAGCACTCATTATGTTATTTTCATATATTTTTTTAAGAATGTATCCTGTGTCACTTTGACTTTACAAACTTACATGAAACGGACACAAAGAACACCCAAACTCAGAACAACAATTTGTGGATTACACAGTGTCATCCCATGTGGAGATTGAACCCACAAAACACACCACTAGGCCATCCATGCAGTCATGGTCCGTGCAGTTTAAAGGGTTAATTTAATGTTTAAAAAGTTCCATTACCTTATAGGTGTCTATCTGTGCTGGTTTCACCATAACTAGTATTGCAGATGCTTCTAAGCAGCCTGTGAGGTAGAAAAAGTCGGAGTTTTGTCTGAAGACATAAGGGATTTTTTCTGACATGTACTGTTTACTTGCTGCTGGTATCACTATCTGAAATGGTTTTTTTTTTAAATACAACTCCTGTTTCGCAGGGGACTTCACAAACATAAATGAAACAGACACAAAGAACACCCTGACTCAGACCAAAAATTTGTAGATCACACAACAAGTTGTGTCATATGTGGGGTTCGAACCCACAGCACTCAGCACAGTAGGAAACAGCTTGGCGACCGCTTAAGCCACTACACCATCCACGCAGTCAAGTTCTTGATGACATGAGTTTAAAAAAAAGGAATTGTTTGGTGAACAGATAATAATATTGGTTTACTCAGAGTAGAGTATGACACTTATTTTTTAAGTGTCTCAATTAATAATAATAATAACTTCACACATCTCACACACAGACCTTTGATCATACTCTAGGCAGTCTGACCTATGGCAACCAGATTGCTGATAAACATACTTATATATTTCTAAATACATACTTATTATTGATTAATTTCCCCCAGACACAGAACAAATGATCATGTTTATCACACAATCATTTGTCTTGGGTGGGAATCAAACTCACACATTACAACCTAAAATTAGGCTACAAAAATAGGAAAACTGAATCTGGTTTGCAAAAAAGATTCAATTCACACACTGCTCAAATTAATAATGCCAATTAACCATATGATTTTTTTTTGTATTTTTACTTACTGTGACTATTAAAAAAAGTAAGTAAATTTTAAATAAATACAGATAATTTTTTATCGCTTAGCAAAATGATTTTTATTCTGACCAGAGTGTGGATTGTATCAATTCTGACCAGAGTGTGGATTGTATCCATTCTGAACATTTATTAAATTTGTTTACTACTCACAATATGAGTTTTGTGTGGATTATTGACTTCCGCAACCAATTTACTGACTAATTTTTCCCGGCGTGCAACATACTCAGCCTGTGTTACACCACCCGTTAAACAATCTTCAGTTATCAAGTGTGGGTGTGTGTGACATGTTAGTTGTCCCATAATGCCTTTGGGTATAAACACTTCTGAACTTCTTGTCGTTTTTTCTGGTCTTTGTGGTGGTAACTCGACTGTGTTTATAGTGCTCAAACATTTTTTTTTATTTTGTATGACAGGCTGTCTACATCTTTGTCTTTGTCCTTTGGTCACTAAAAAAAGTTACATTCATTGATTTGAATCTATAAAAGTTACAACGAATATCTGCTCCTCCTGTGTCCGCACGAAGTCTTATTCAAGTAATTCGGTATGGTGTTACTCAAAACAAGACCTTTATATTTTAGATAAAAACTTTCTAACAAGAAAAAAAATTGTTTTTTTGGTGGTTTGATAAATACTTTAATGGTTTGATAAAAAACAATGTTACATTACATTAGCTACTTGTTAATTGGAGTGGATTAATTGTAATAATCAAATATTAAAATAATATTATTAAACAATGTAAGTACTTTTTGCTCAATTCCATGACATAAACATAAATATTAATAGTAGATAAAAATAATAGGGTTCGAATTTCATACATTTTCCGAAAGCAGACTTACTTGTTTGAGCAATAAGTTTTCTTATTTGATGCATTTTGGTTTGAGAATGAGATGAATTTAGTATTTTTAGTGGAAAAAGTGGTGTAATGTTTCAATAATTAAATGAAAACAAATAAATTAGGTTACAAGAAAACAGATGAATTTTGACAACGACTTTGACATTTGGTTGATCTTAATCATAATGTCAATAAAATGTGGCCATTATAAAAACACAAATTGTACCATTTATGCAAAACTTAATAATAGATGGTTGTTAATAATTTGGCTTCAGGCAAAACAATCGTCACCATCCAAACCTCTACCTTCATCAGTAATGAGCCTAAATTTTTCAACAAGAACCAAATTTAAATAAACTACTCAAAAAAGGACAAGTTCGTACGCGTATTTTGATTAATTATTTTGGTGCTTGGTGTTGTTTTATCATTACATGTAGTGACACTGAATGTTGGGGTGCTATATTTATTATTTGCTTGCATAAGCTATTCTTACTCGGCAAAATGATTACACCTGGAACTATTGATGATAACTGGAAAGGTAAAAGGAAAACCCAGATGCAATAGTCCAAGAAGATGGTCACACCAAATCGCTGAACATCTAGATATGCCAATAAGTAACTGACTGACTGACAGACAGATGGTTGACAGGATGAAAGGGAGTCACGATCCTCAGTAGGAAGGGGATTAGAAGAGAAGCTATCCTTTGACACTTATTATTTCTTCAAAACAATTTTGATAATTCGCATCTGCCAGACGCGTGGCTCAGCGTCAATTTTTCTCGTATTTTCAAAGCAAACAGTATTTGGGGAAATATTTCTAGGTTTGAATGTTCAATTTTACTGCGTTATTATTCTGCCAAGAAAATGAGATTAATTTTATTTTATAAATTTATTTAGGACAACTTTCAAAACATCGTCTTACTTAACTTATCGTCTTAAAAGGTTTATCATTTTTTATTTAATCATCATTTCAGATCATTTGATATATTGCTTAATTTGGCCCTGTGCTCATTTTTTTTACTATATGAAACGTTTATTGTGAGGTTGCAATTCTGACAGCTTCCGTTCCGTTCGACACTTGTAATTCTCCGACTGGTATATAGTTATCTGTGCTTTTGATGCACTTGGACTCAAACTGTTCACTTGTCATTAACGAGTCTACATTGACGTCAAAACAGTTACGCACTGATAAAGAAAGCTGTAAATTAAATTATTTTTCAAAAGTATGATTATCTTTCATTCTATTTTATTCAAATATTTAAATGAAAAAGTAACATACCAATGCGTTAACATTGTTTGCTTGGGAAAACTCGTGCAAGAAATAAATAAAATAAGAGGGCTCGATTTATGAAAAAATACTTTTAGCAGATTCACTGAAAAGTTTTCCTTTATACTAAGTAATTGAAATCTAGAATCTATTTCGGAGTACGGTAACTCATGTTGTGTACTGAATTAACTAACAAACATTTGTTTTTAATGTTAACATTACAATTAATATTCTTAAGTTTACTTGTAGGAGGGACAAACCGAGTTGACTTAACAATCGTGAAAATTTCTCTTTTGGTATTTGTGTAAGATTGACATTAAATTACTTAGTTCTATCTCAATCAATAGACAGAGACATTTACCTTCTTTTAGAGTGAAATTTCCAACTATTTTTCCGATAAGGCTATTGATTTTGGGGACACGTCTCAAAAAGGAAAAGAGGTTCTATTGCTAGGCTCTGTGGGCAGGAAGGTCATGCTACGTTCACTGGGCACGTCTCAGGTGGCAGTCAGCGCAGAACAAGCAGCGCGTGCGCACGTCGCTCCTCCGTACAGTTCGAATACGATCGCGGGACCCACTTGTGTCGTAAACTGTCAATCGTGCCCGTGTGCCCGTTACAATTGTGTTTTAAAGCAGTTAAGTGATTGTTTTTTTTTTTAATTACTGAAGCGCCGTAGCCAACGACTCTGCAAAGAGGTTTGTTTATTTTCCTAGTTTTAAATCACACGCCTTCTCTGTCTACTGATTATAGTGTGGTCTAGTCGATAGTTTACTTCGATAAATGGTCGGACCCAGTTCGCGGGTTCATTTGCATCGTTTTGTAAGCCATTCATTAGTCGTTACGCTCGGTTGCAAGGATTACTTAACTGACCTCGTAGAGCTTCAAAATTATAACAATTGATGAAGAATTGTTAAGATGCGTGAGGTTAATTGTGAATGGCAAATAAATGTTTATGCTGTTATGTGTTATATATATGTAACACTTTGTATTACGTGCTTTGTTGAAATATTGTCAAATTATTATAACACTATAATAACCTTTACCCCGAAATAGGGTTTGAATAGGTATACGATTTATAAATTATTTAACGTGAATGACTGAATTAATATACATATATATCCTTGCAGTTAGTTCCTAATAAAATACTAGGTACGTTTATTTGATAAAGGATTTGAAATATTGATATGATGTTTAAAAATAAAACAAAATCTTAAAGTCGTAAGAGCTTGACATTACCTCTACTACTAGAATGACATCATTACTTTTGTACAAGTTTTTACATTATCAATTTCGTATTCAGACTTTTTCATTTGACTTTAAGTTAAAATGAAAAAAAAAAACTTTAAATTAAATTACGTATAGTAAGGTACATGTCATTTGTATCGGGGATATATTCGATAAGTAAAGAAATGATTTGAAATTGGGTGAAACCAGTATAAAGAGAACGACGTACTCAGATTGTTTATTTGGTTATTTGCACATAGTAGCGACTATACCTACACTTCACCTTTATAGCAAACACGTTTATTGATTTATAATTCATATTACGATTTTAAATATTCACATTCTTGAACATATTTGAAAAATCTATCAATGATCCTGATGCTAAATAAAGGATGTAATCGCGAAAGGTTTTATATAAAAATTACTTAACACATCTCACACACGGCAGTTTGATCCTAAAATAGACAGGGCCTCTGACATGGTAAACTGCTAAAAATACATATGCATACTTAAATATTTCTAAATATGTACATAAATTTACTATTAATATTATTATATACATAAATTACACCCAGATACAGAAATTTGATCGTGCTCATCACACAACAAAATAAACTGTACGAATTTGGTATCTTGTAACTTTTTTTATTACCTAAAGACTTTATATCCTAAACCAAATAACCAATGCGCCATGGTTCATCTAAAAAAAAAAAGGAAATACACGAAATCCTGAAAAAACATCCAAACCAGTTTGCTGGAGAGCTCACTATTCCCGAGAAAAAAGCGACGAGACTTATTTGATAAGTTTAGTCGCTAATAACTGGCAGACTATATAAAATAAAGGGTGGACTCCATTGATAGTCCTTTAGCATCCTAAAAAAAACAACCTGCACCACATGACATGTGCTAATAGTCCAGATGAGTGATAGCAGAAAAACAAAGAGATAGAGAAAAAAAACTTAATGACTTAATTGCGTCTTTCCAACGAGAATCCCTTTTTAAGAAGTGATGCATCCTGCAACACCTTAACACACGTGATTAATTCACATGCCCTTCATAAATGTGATTCCCACTCGCGATAACTATTATTCTTACGTTCTAGTTATGCTTGGACTTTCTTAAGACTTCAAGTTAGACTTCAATATAAGTAAGCAGACTATTAAACTTTTAAACATCGCTTTACGTTAACATCATGTGTTTCACAATAGGTACATCATGACTAAAGGTCATAAACGCTATGAGATATGCAACATTGTTTTCACAAATATTTCTTCACATGTGTATACTATTTAATATTAAAGCTGAAAACTTTGTTTAAACGCGCTAACCTTAAGAACTACCGGTTTGAACTAAAAAAGCCCTTTAGTGTTGAATGTGGAAATTAGCATTTATCAAAGAAGGCTATAAGATTATAATGTTACGGCAAAAATGAGCCGAACATCAATGAAAAATGTTGCAAAAATGGGGAAATTTATTCCTTTCGCAAGATGGCTGGCAGGAGCTGGATGCGAGAAGTCCAAAATCGATCTAAGTGGCGTGCAATGGGAGAGGCCTATGACCAGCAGTGGAATGCGATAGGCTGATGATGATTACTTTTGGAAGACAATGAGGTTGTGTGGGTCAGTACTTAATAACTCTACATTTGTTGTTTCTGGATCTGTTATTGTATGAAATAGCTTTAATAGATTGTTTCTCAGATTTGTTTTTCATTAACAGAAAAGTAAATCTTTAAAAAAAAACTGTCAGGGCCCATAAAATCAGAAGCAGGTCACAAGGTTTGAAGGACATACCAACAATTGTTGTGCTGTTATTGGTGTATTTATATATGAACTGCAAAGGTATTACTTAAAATTATCGCTACAGAAATAAAATATACGATAACAACTGCCATTAAAATTGAAAAAAAAAATACTAACTACTTATTTATTTTTTACTTTCAAGCAAGAGTCGAGAATGTCATTTATATATTCTAAACTAATACATGGCATGAGCCTATCAGTATATACAGTAAAAGATGTCTTAAAAATCAACAAACCCGTAAAAGATTGTGGTGGTTTAGGAAAGGTGTTCAAGTTTTTAGTCATACCGTACCTCAGGTCACAAAATGAATTAAATCTATGCCTTCACACATCACATCAACAGCCTATAATAGTCCACTGCTGGACTATGTCTATGCCTCTCCTTAGAAAAGAGGTTTTGGCCTACTATACTACGCTGGCCAGACGGGGTTTTTTTCATGTTTTCCTTCTCTTTGCAGTGCTGTTGTCTTGCGTAGTGCGACATCCACGGAATGCATAAGGTGGTGAAATTACGTATTCTTAATCCGTCACCACACGGATCTATGCCTTATATCCTTATATCTTCAATAAAACGGGTGTATTATTCTAACTCAATCATTGTCTTTGAATTATATTAAATACTAGCATTTGCCCGTGGATCTGGCTCACGTGTAGGTATGTCTGTTATCGCAGTAAAAGTAGCCTATGTCCTTCTTCAAGAATCAAAGCATATCCATGCCAAATTTCATTAAAATTGGTTCAGCTTTTTA